TTTGGGGGTGCTGGAAAGCTGATAGGATCCCTATAAAACCCAGATAGAACAAAACTCTTAATCCAAACCCGAAATCCCCATAGGATCCTTAACAAAGCCAGCTTTGTCCCTAAACCCTAAACCCTAAACCCCAAAACCCTAAACCCTAAACCCTAAACCCCAAAACCCTAAACCCTAAACCCTAAACCCTAAGTCCAAGATACCAGCGGCCGCAGCGGGTGGTGCCGAGGACGCCGCCGACTTAGCGGCGACGAGAGGTGCGGGTCGAGCCGCTGGCGACACGAAGGCCTCTCCAAAGAGACGGTTTAGGGTTTAGGGTTTAGGGTTTGAGGAAGCCCCAGGTGCCTTGCCCTTGGAAGGAAGGAAGTGTCCATGTACCCAAATAGAGTGTACTTGGGCCCCAAAGTACCTACAAAGGGACTACGTTAAGGCAAAAAAATAGTAGGAAAGTCGAAGCCTCTATACGACATGGTACACCGAACAGGTAAATGCCGTGACAACCGCGCAATCCTGCTGAAGGAAACGAAACAAAACGCAAGTAGGCCATGATCCGCATCGGAAGAGTGAAGCCACAGCATTCTTTGAACGACAGCCGTTCGCTAGCTTGCGAAGGTGCAGTCCACACTGAACCCAATTGCAAGAGCTTTCCTACTGACTAATGGCCAACCGAGTTCGAACCCGAACAACCCTCCCTAGACGACCGGCTACGTCTCTGGACGACTATACTATGCTACATGACATGAGCCAGGGTATTTAACTCAGGCTCTGTTCAAAGCAACCCAAAACAAGCAGGAACCCTTACAAACCGGATATCCTGCACCCTTCTCATTTTCAGTAACCTTTGCAGTAGCCCCGAAACAAGGATCCCTTGAGAGAAACCTATAAGAAAAGTAGGCCAGCCTCGTAAGCAACGCTGGCAACGCAGAACGCCGCTACGCCGATCACGGCGGCTCTCAGGGAACTCATTGCGCACGCTCTCGGCTGAATAAGGATGCCACAGGGGAGGCTTCTTCTTTGGGCCAGACTGCAAAATTCAGAAAAATGAGTTTAACTTTGTGCTTGTATTTTTGGTTGCGACACCTCACGTTCCAAGCTGCCGAGGTAAACCGTTATAGAACCCCTAAGCTCAAAACCTTACAAGGCTCAGTCGACCGTCCCTTTAGTTTCACGTGCTTGTACATTGTAGCATACGTGCGCAGCTCAAAACCTTGAAGCACGACTGGGGATGGGGACTTAGGCGAAGAGGGGCTGGCGGGTCATAGAATAAACCACGGGATGGTGGCTTGCGCATTCTGGATGTTCCTACCAGGAGGGTCTATATATATATATATATATATATATGTATGTGTATATATTTTTACATGCGTATATATATATATATAATCAAAGAGCCCCAACACCATAACAGGGATAGTCTTTTGGGATCTAATTCCATAATGGCAGTATATATGGACCCTCTGGGTGCAGCTGAATGGGGGCACCCGCCTGAGCACGACCTTGTGCTTACGTACTTATGTGTGCATGTCTGTGTACGTGTATGTATACGTGGAAAAACTACATATGGCTTATGCAAAGGTGTATCATGCCCGAAACCCCATTTGGTGTAAGGCGTAAGATTTCGGGTTTGAGCTCCCTGAACCTGGGCTTGACGTGAGCTGCGTCGGTTTTAGGATCCCGCAGCCCGTGCCTGAGCTTGAGACAAACATGCAGTGCTCGGGAATCCTTCGGAACTGCACTGCCACCGAAAAGAAATCCACCCCTTGACAGCCTTGGGGCACGGATCGTGCCAGCATCTCTGGACAAGTCATTGGCTGGCAATCCGTGCGGCCACGATCATGCAGAAACTAGGAAGGAGATCACACAAAGATAGTCTGTAGTGCAATCACGTGTAACCCTATGAACTATGAAAGTACGACTAGAATACAGTGAATACCAATACCACACGTGATTTCCTGCCCGCTGTAGAGACCCAAAGGGTCCAAAGTACCTATATAGTAGAATGTGGGGTTTCTATATTAGGAATTGTAATAATGATTTGGGGAAGTATACCCCATAACAGTACCTAGGAGATTGCTCTAAAGGCCCTCTTCGCCGGGCAAACCGCATTAAGCGGCTGAAGACTGACTCATGGCCGAACGCGGCTAGAGCTCAGGCCCCGGAACGTCCACTTTCAGCACCAGCCGGTTCACTACCTTGCTGCTGTGTGTTTGGGGATGTCAAAGTACGAGGGTCCTTGGAATACTTGGCGAACTAGGGCGCAAGAGCGAGGAACGGACGAACGGGGGAGAGAGAGCGATAAAGGACCCGGAGCACAAATTGTGGCTTGGGCTCGGAAATTGGGGTGGCGGGTATTTCGACTTCAACCAGCTGTAAGAACTGAGAAATACGTGATTGTCGGCAAAAGCACCCCTAAACCAAATCTCGCAACACTCCGGCAACCTCCGTTGGTCCTGACTTGTCTTCTTCATGGTTCGGCCAGACTGCAATACTGTCGGGAATGCGGGGCTTCGAGTCACAAAGATAGGACCTACAGTACACCCGAGCAGAAGTCCAGAATTCCCAAATCCATAACTCTCAAGCCCCCCCTGAACCCTGCAGGCACAGATGCCGGGCCATCTTGGTGGTACTGAACCTCTGCCGACTTGTGCACTAAGCCTTGCAGATGTGGGTAGTTCTCTAACCTAGGGTCCTTTTTAGGGTCCTGTCAAAAACGGGTGCCGTACTATTTTGAGGACCTAAAGAAGGGACCCGAATTTAGAGAACGACCCATCTGGGGTTTGGCGAGTTGTGGTTCAGGGTTTAGTTGGGCCTTACCGGTCTTCGGCATTGCTCTACAAAGTCGACGATTGAGGGCGCCCAAAGTAACCACCAAGACTAAACCCTAAACCCGAAACCCTATATATGCCCCAAGTCCAGGTACCCTAAAGGGTCCAAGTACCCAATAATCTACTCCCCCAATAAAAATAGCCTACATAACTACGATCCTAAACCCAAGCACCTTAAGAACTGGCTCCTTTGGACCCTTAGGCTTCGTAGATGTGGATTCGGAGGTTTAGGGTTCAGGGTGTTTCTGAGGTCTGTATCTTTAATGTAGAAGCCTTAATAATTAGACTAGGGATTTGAGGTATTCGATACTATACTTACAATAAGGCACCCCCCAAAATAGTATTGGTGGGTATGTAGGCCCCTGTATTAAAGTCTTTGTGCAGCTTGTCGTTGCCTATTGCTCGGTTTCAGCAGAAGAGCAGAAACGTGCATGCACTCATGCCTGATCCAAAGCCGTTCTGTCATTCTGTGCTGCATGCGGACGAATTCCCAACGGGTCCTAAGTACCCATATAGTCGAATGTAGGGTTTCTATGATGGGAACTACTGTTACTTTCTGGGCAAGTATCCTCCATGATAGGACCTACCTGTGACCCCAAACCCTACAAAATAGTAGGTAATGACCCCGTAATTAGAGGGTAGAACCCATAACACTGAGTCCAAGGTAAGACCCTTTCGGCCCGTAGCTGCCGTCCTTGCTCTGTGCTACCCCAAACCCTAAACCCTAAACCCTACTGACCGCCAAGCTGCCCGTTGCACCTTCGGGGAACTTCTGGCCCTTCATGAGGAGCACGTCCCCTACCTAAGTTAAGGGTTTAGGGTTCCGGGTTTAGGGTTTAGGGTTTAGACTACAGGTGGGGAGTTTAGGGTATATAGGGCTTCTATAAGGCGTCTATAAGGTATATAGACCGTCTATAAGGCTCCTATAACGGTAACTGCCCACCTGAAAATGTCTTAGACTAAGCAGAGAATCAAAAAAATATAGGGGCCTTACCGATAGGCCCCCTAGTAGTTCCTTTTTCGTGGGCTGATATTTAGGATCCTATTCGGGAATCCCAAAAACGAACTACTATGGGGCCTATGGGTACTGATTAGAGTACTGTCTTTGGGTTTGTTGTAGCAATAATGTAGTTATAACTAACTTATGGAACTGTGGGGATTAATATTAGCAATCCATATAAGGCCCCAAAGTAAGGGATTTGCCCGACATTGCTCCTACTAGCGCAAGAGTTTCAGAAACCAGGGATCCCACTGCCAGTCGAGCTTCAGAACATTAACGGCCCCACTATGTATGTATGTATATATATATATATACACATGTCAAGGACAGCAGGAAAGTATCCAAATATATGAGGGTGCATAATTTTACAAATTTCATATTGCAGGTCTTTTCCCGATAACACTCTGGGCTCTAAACCTCGACGAAAGGGTCCCCGAGTTCCTGAAGTAGCGATCCATAGCAGCTTTGAGCAAGGCTTCACCCTAAACCCTAAACCCTAATTCAAGCTCATTGAAAGACCTGAGGGTTGAGCCCTCAAGGCGTAACAGCCATAGGGGTGGGGTCTAGGGTTCAGGGTTTAAAGCTTATAAGGACCATCCAGGTTAGCTTAATTGATTGATTCATTTCTCTCTGTTTTTGTCTGTAGGAGGCTGTGTTTTTTCGTAACATTCAGCGTAGAGAGTTTAGCAATAGTGGAGAGGCGGCTGGACGGGCATACTATTACGATTTTTTGGGTGTTCGGGTTTAGAGCGCATCAGGCTTTGAGGGCCTGTAGGGGTTTTTGCACTTTAACGTAGGGTTTAGGCTTTAGGGCTTTAGGGGCTAAGGGTTAGGGCCAGCGGCAAAGCATGGGAAGGATCCCTACATAACCCTAAGGGTCCATGTACCCAAATAGTATATACATTGGCCTTAATGTAGTCCCTATATAGGTACTTTAGGGCCCATGTATATGCTATATGAGTACATGGACCCTTCGGGTAATTTATGGTATATGGCTGCATTGAGTGGGATTTGGAGCTGGTAACCACGTCTTGGAAAGGCATGGCCTCTCCAACATACTCTGCATAAGTGTGGGTGCCTCGCCCTACTGGGGTTGGAGGGTTGGGGGTTGAGGGTAGGTGCCTGCATAGACAACAGCTCGATTCTCGAAACATTGATGCATATGACCCTCAGCCCAAATGCCAAAGCATGAACCCGAAATCCTAAGTCCTAAACCTTAGATCCTAAACCCTAGACCCCGAACGCTAAATTTCCTAAATCCTAGCTTCTAAATACTAAATCCTGCGATGAAGGATCCTTGTGTCTGTGTGCAAGGACTGTTGATCTAATGTATGACAAACCCCGAGCGGTGCCTCGTGCTGTTGGGTTTTCAGGAGTTGGGGTTTAGAGTGCACGGTTGTCAATTTTCAATCAATATTCCAGGGAATCTTAGAACGCCGAACCTCAAAAAGTAAACCCCTTCTAGAACCCCATACCCTAAACCCTAAACTCTAAACTCCAAACCCCATACCCTAAGCCCTAATCCCCGTAACGAATCCTGGAGCACAGCCTTCACAATGCCAAGCGGCATTCACCGACCGAATTTGCGAATTATCCTGGCGGTTGAGGCTGTAGGGCTCAGGGTTGAAGGTTTAGGGTTTAGGGTTTAGGCTTAAAGTTTGAGGTTTCGGGTTATGGTTTAGGTTTTAAAAGGGTTCGAGTTTAGTGCTTCGGGTTGAAGGGCTAAGGTTTACGGTTAAGTGTGAAGGTTTAGGGCTTAGGGTTTAGGGTTTAAAGCTCTGATCCAGGAATCTCGAAGTGGAGAGGCTTCCCTGAACACCAAACTCCCCGTTTAGGGGCCTTGATGGTGAGAATTACAGGGTGTCGGATATATTGTAGCATACAGACAATAGGACACAGAACTGTATGGAATCGTATTCGGTTGGGTAGGGCCGCCGTATGGTCTGTATAATGATTTGTTGTACGACCCGCCGCAAAACAGAGGTTCGAGTAGGTTAAAATACCTACAGTCTCCTTATTTTTTTGGCTTACTGTGTATTCGACGATCCAACAACGTATGGAATCTGACTGCATCGGAGTTTGGAGACTAAGTAAACCCAGAACTGCTGTTTTGGCAAGAAGTGGGTTTGTTGGCTTGGCAC